AAAGGATACTTTTCAGCCAAGGAGATTACCCATAAATTTTTCACTACAGTTCTGATTGGTAAATATAGGGCCAAGGGAAGTAGACTTTTTTTTTCTTTTCTTTTTTTTTGAAATGGAGTCTTGTTTTGTCACCCAGGCTGGAGTGCAGTGGTGTGATCTCGGCTCACTGCAACCTCCGCCTCTCGGGTTCAAGCAATTCTCCTGCCTCAGCCTCCCGAGTAGCTGGGACTACAGGTGCGCACCACCACACCTGGCTAATTTTTGTATTTTTAGTAGAGATGGGGTTTCACTATGTTGGTCAGGCTGGTCTCGAACTCTTGATCTCATGATCCACCAGCCTTGGCCTCCTAAAGTGCTGGGATTACAGGCGTGAGCTACCGCCCAGGCCAAAGTAGACTTTTGAAAGTAAACATTAAGAGTTACTTCTTTCAGATCATTGATATTTTTTCTTGCTTAAACAAAATACATTTAGAGTACTACAGTTATACATTTTTCAAATGCGTTCTAGGATCTTGATACAATTAAGTCAGTGTACTTACAAAATATATAATTTTTAGCTTAATACATTCTGTTGTTAACAGAACCTAATAATTCAATTAATTACTAGAAGACTTTGGGTTTTCTTTACTTTCTATATTTTGAAGAAAATATAATTACCTATGACTATGTTCAAATGAAATATCATATTTTTTCTTAAAATTAACAAGGTATTTCAAGTAAGTCAGAAGACTTCTATATTGAAATCTTATTATGCCACAATTTACTAAGGGTAGAATTTGTTGCAGTGTAGGTCAACCAGTAAATAGACATATAGAGACAGTCCAGTCTGAGTTTGAAGCCTAGATCAGGCCAGTTATTTAACTTCTTTGAGCCTCCATTTCCTCATCTCTAAGGAAATGGGACATTTCATTGCTGGATTCTGTATTAGACTAGAGACAGTTTAATGGCATGCAGTAGATGATTAATGAATGGTCATTATTATAAAATAGTGTATAATTGCTGAGCTGCCAAAAGGGCCTCCTTTTAATGACTGTAATTTACAGGGTAATCTCAAAGAATGAATCTCCCATAATCAGTTTAGCAAAATTCCTAAATATTTACTTCCCCCATTGGATCACAGTAAAGTCACATGATACCTACGTTTAACATATTTAAATTCAACTATATGCATTTGATTAGAAAAAAAATGGAAAAAAACCCTCAGTTTTAATTTATCTGGGAAAATCAGCCTACTATTCCTCTCAATGAGCAAATACTCTGACATAAATATGAGAAACGTGAACCTTTTTTTCAATGGCCTCTCAAAGTATCAACATCTCAGTGTACAGAGCATAATTCTAGTATTTAAAAATACACACTTTCGCGCAACATACTACTAAAGCACAAGCCAACTGCACTTTATCTGCTGCTCAAGTGAAGAAACAACGTTCTGCCTCAAAGTTGGAAGAAAAACTCAATTAGAACATTGAGAAATACTATGCCTCTCTCTGAAGTAACAACTTCCTGAGGAATTTTCCAATGTAATTTAAAAATATTTTTATTTTGAAATAATTTTAGACTACAGAAGTTGCAAAATAGTTGTCCAAATAGTTCAGAAAGTTGTTATCTACTCTCTACCCAGTTTCCCCTAAGGCTAACAACTTATATAACCATAGTATAATTATCAAAACTAGGAGATAAACATTGGAACAAAACTATTAACCTAAATAATGGACCTTATTCACATTTTGCCAGTTTTTCCCCTAATGTCCTTTTTCTGTCCTGGAATCTGATCCAGGATCTCACTTTTGATTTATTTATTATATTTACTTAGTCTCCTCCAAACTGGGACAATTTCTTACTCTTTGTCTTTCATGACTTTGATCTGTGGTTCCATGAAGGTAAAGAAATGTAAATCAAGTCAATAGTTTTTTCTTTAGTGTCTTAAGTATCAATTTTTCAGGCAATTCTTTATAAATCCAAAACCAGGATATTTTCTATGGTAGATTATTAATTAATTTGTCATTACACAAGTGAATGTAGCAAATGGCATTACCGAATTGAATTTAACTGCCCAAGTGACCAAAAAGAACAAACTTCTCCTATTCTTGCATAGTTGCTACCTTATAATAGGAACCATTTCAGACACTGACAGAAGACTCCATGGCTAACATTCCATTTTTCTTATCCTCAGATGGATAGGAGATTCCTTGGCCTTCACATAATTTGTGAATTCTGACATCAGGTACTCATTACCATTTCTTTCTTTCTTTTTTTTTGACACAGAGTCTCACTCTGTCACCCAGGCTGGAATGCAGTGGCGCAAGTTTGACTCACTGCAACTCCGTCTCCTGGGTTCAAGCGATTCTCATGCCTCAGCCTCCTGAGTAGCTAGGATTATAAGCGTGTGCCACCATGCCCGGCTAATTTTTGTGTTTTTAGTAGAGATGGGGTTTCACCATGTTGGCCAGGCTAGTCTCGTACTCCTGGCCTCAAGTGATCTGCCCACCTTGGTCTCCCACAGTGCTAGGATTACAGACGTGAGCCACCGTGCCCGGCCTACTATTGATTTCTTAATAATTTTTCTGGCATTTATTTAAAAAAAAAAAGCCAAAGCTTATAGACAAGTAACAGTCATCGTATGTAGAAAGTTTTTAAAGAAGTGATTATTTCAACAGCAGTAATTGTCTGTTTGCTACCAATCTGTTCAAAAATATTCTTCAATTATAAACACTACATAGACATTAACTCTAATGATAGCATTGTTTAAAGATTTTACAGCATGGTGACAGAAATGAAAAAGAATAATTGAGACCTAAGAGGTTTAAAAAAGTTTTAAGCAATTCAAAGGATAGTAGTTATCAAATATGTCTATATTAGTAACATTAAAAGGCAGGGTTTATATTACACTTTTGAGTACCCGTAGCAACATATAAGTATTTCTCTAGATAAATTTTTTTTTTTTTTTGACAAGGTCTCACTCTATTGCCGAGGCTGGAGTGTAATGGTGCAATCTTGGCTCACTGTAGTCTTGACCTTCCCTAGCTCAGCTGAACCTCCCACCTCAGGACACCATTGCCTCGACTGCCCACTCCCCATCCTACCTGCCTACCTGCTCATGCTTGAGAATACAAGCATGAGCCAGGGCCACAGCATCTGGCCTCTAGAGAGACTTCCTATTTTAGTTTTTTCTTCTCTTATTTGTGAAGACTTGAAAAAACTATTGTGGTTTATTTAGATTCTGGTTTGTGATTTTTTTAAATAAACTTTTTATTTTGGAATAAATTTATGTTTAGAGAATAGTTGCAAATATAATAAAGTGAGTTTTCATAAACCCCTCACCAGTTTCACCTGTTGTTAACATTTTACATCACCATGCTGTCGCTTTGGTCAAAACTAAGAAACTAACATTGCTGGATGCAGTGGTTCATGCCTATAATTCCAGGACTTGAGGTCAGGAGTTTGAGATCAGCCTGGCCAACTAACAAGGCCACATCTTTACAAAAATTATTTTAAAAAACAAAATTTAAGTAGAAACCAAAATTAATGTATTTCTATAAACGTCAGATTTTATTTGTATTTTCATCAGTTTTTTCCATTAATGTCCTCTTCCTGTTTCAGAATTTAATCCAAATGTCACACTGCTTTTAGTTGTCATGTTTCCCTAATGTCTTTCAATATGGGACAGTTTCTCAGCCACATCTTGTCTTTCACGACCTTGACACTTTTGATGAACATTGGTTTTGTAGAACACCTCTCAATTTGGATGTTTTCTTATGATTTGATTGAGGTTATGCATTTTGGGCAAGAATTCCACAGAAGCAACACTGTGCCCTTCTGATTACCTTTTATAAGGGATACATCCATGTGGTTATTTGGTTAAGTTAGTGACTGCAGATTTCTCCACTATAAATTTACTATTCCTCTCCTTTTTTTTTTTTTTTTTGAGACAGAGTCTTGCTCTGTCACACAGGTTGGAGTACAGTGGTGCAATCTCTGCTCCCTGCAACCTCCACCTCCCGGGTTCAAGTAATTCTTCTGCCTCAGCCTCCCAAGCAGTTGGGACTACACGTGCGCACCACTGTGCCCAGCTAATTTATTGTGTTTTTAGTACAGATGGGTTTTTGCCATGTTGACCAGGCAGGTTTCAAACTCCTGGCCTCAAGTGATCTACCTGCCTTGGCCTCCCAAAGTGGTGGGATCACAGGCGTGAGCCACTGCGGCTGGTCCTATTCTTCTCCTTTTCATTTTTTTGTTTTGAGATGGAGTTTTGCCCTTGTTGCCCAGGCTGGAGTGCAATGGCGCAATCTCGGCTCACTGCAACCTCCGCCTCCTGAGTTCAAGCGATACTCCTGCCTCAGCCTCCCGAGTAGCTGGGATTACAGGCGTGTGCCACTACCCTGGCTAATTTTGTATTTTTAGTACAGACGGGGTTTCTCCATGTTAGTCAGGCTGGTCTTGAACTCCTGACCTCAGGTGATCCACCCGCCTTGGCCTCCCAAAGTGTTGGGATTACAGGCGTGAGCCACTGCACCTGCCATATTCTTCTCCTTCTATACTCTATTCTTCAGCAGCCAGTCACTATGTCTAGCCCACCAGCAAAAAAGGGGAGACTAGGAAAGGGGGAGATTAGCCTTCCCACAGGAGGGCTTATCTACATACGGTGTTTGGAATTTTTTGGTAAGGAAAATTTGTTTATAACAGACTTTAAAATCTGACATCTTCCAGGTGTCCAATTTTTCCACCAACGTTGAAATAATATTTGTTGGCCAGGTGGGATGGCTCACACCTGCAATCCCAGCACTTTGGGATGCCAAGGTGGGCAGATCACACGGTCAGGAGTTCGAGACCAGCCAGGCCAGCGTGGTGAAACTGGGTCTCTACTAAAAAAATACAAAAAATTAGCTGGGCATGGTAGTATGCGCCTGTAATCCGAGCTACTCGGGAGGCTGAGGTGGGAGAATTGCTTGTACCCAGGAGGCGGAGGTTGCAGTGAACCGAGATGGTGCCCAAACCAAGAAAGAAATAATATTTATTTACTGCAAGTATATTTTTGGTGGATTCTAATAAAGTACAAGGCATACAAATTTTCCACCCTAATATGTTGTAATAGAAGAGACAGACATTAAAAACAAGTAAGCTGTAAATAAACAAGATAATTACATATTGGGATAACTGTTATAAATGAAACTCAGTAAGATATGAGAGAATGTGGTAACTCTGGGGGAGGCCTTCTGAGTCAGTGCAGTTTGGAAAGGTCAGTATGAGGTGTTGACATTTGAACAGAGAACTCAAAAAAGAGCACAAACCAGTTCTGTGAAAAACGTTCCAAACTTCAGGATGATTTGGAGGCAGAAAATTGTCCTGTGATGGTTAATTCATGTGTCAACTTGACTGGGTCATGGTGGACCCAGATATTTGGTTAAACATTATTCTGGGAGTATCTTCGAGGTGTTTGTAGATGAGATTAATATTTGAATCAGCAGACGGGGTAAAACAGTTTTCCCTCCCCACTGTGGATGGGCGTCATCCAATCCACTGAAAACCTGAACAGAACAAAAAGGTTAAGTAAGGGAGAGTTTGCACCTTGTATCTGACTGTCTGAGCTGGGACATCAGTCTTCGCCTGACGTTTTAGGCTTGGGCTGGAACTTACATCATCGGCTTTCCTGGTTCTCAGGCCTTCTGGTTCAGACTAAAACTATACCACTGGCTCTCCTGGCCTCTGGGTATCCAACCTATAACTAATATATGCACCCAGAATAGAAAAGGGTCTAGAGGCCGGGCGTGGTGACTCACGCCTGCAATCCTAGCACTTTGGGAGGCTGAGGCAGGCGGATCACCCGAGGTCAGGAGTTCGAGATCAGCCTGGCCAACATGGCAAAACCCTGTCTGTACTAAAAATACAAAAATTAGCCAAGCATAGTGGTGCATGCCTGTAATCCCAGCTACTCGGGAGGCTGAGGTAGGAGAATCACATGAACTCAGGTGGCAGAGGTTGCAGTGAACCGAGATGGTGCCACTGCTCTCTAGCTAGGCTACAGAGCAAGACTCCGTCTCAAAAAAAAAAAAGAAAAAGAAAAGAAAAGAAAGAAAGAAAGAAAAGGGGCTAGAGCAGCCCAAGTGTGGGAAAAGATGGTCACTTGCTATGAGAAGTAGAGAAGAGATGGAGCCTGAGGACCATGGCAAGCAAAGGGTTTGATTTTTACCCTAGGTATTGTAGGAAGCCTTTGAAGGATTCTTTTGCAGGAAAAGGCAATTAGACATTACATCGTTAAACGATTATTCTGGCTGTCCTAAGGCTCACAGATTGTAAGAAGCAGATATTAGGAGCCCAGCACAGTAGGCCAAGCCAGAGATAACTGTATGTATATAGATTGGGGGCAGGTGTGGGGGTAGTGTCAGTACAGACAAAGAGAAGTAGAGGATTTGAGAGAACATTTGGAGGTAGACCCGACAGGCCTCATGTGTCATAATGCGCTTATAAATAAAGTCTGCAAGTTTCAGTCATTGAGAGAAAGGGAACTACTTGATGTCATATAGAAAGTGCAAGCAGATTAACATAGATCAGGCACACTGTGTTTAATTTATAGACATCTAACTTTAATGTAATTTTTTAAGTACCTCATTTTTTGTTTGTTTTTGAAAAACAGAATCTCCCTCTGTTGCCTAGTTTGGAGTGCAGTGGCATGATCATAGCTCACTGTAGTCTGGACCTCCTAGGCTCAAGCAATCCTCCCACCTCAGACTCTGAGGAGCTGGGACTACAGGCACACACCATCATGCTTGGCTAATTTTTAAAGTTTTGTAGAGATGGGATCTTGCTATGTTGCCTAGGCTGGCCTTGAACTCCCGCACTCAAGCAATCCTCCTTTCTTGCCCTCCCAAAATGCTGGGATTACAGGTGTGAGCCACTGCATCCAGCCAGTACCTCTTTTTTTATTATTATTATTGAAAAACTAATATATGATTATGATGGAGAATTTAGAAAATATAACATTATAGAATTTTAGGAGATTCCATCTGTCTTAGGGAAGGGTGGGATCAAACTCATAAAGAAGGACACAAAGATACGTGAACAAGAATGTTCACTGCAGCATTACCAGTAACAGCAAAAAATCACAAATAAGTGTCCATGATTATGGAATTGGTAAAACAATGTAGCCATTAAAAAGAATGCAGTAAACTTTTGTGCACTGAAAGGAAATGATGTTCAAGGTATACTAGGCAAAAAAGTCTAATGCAAATAGTATATATAGTGTGATCACACTCATGTGAATTAGAATATTTTTCATTGTATCTTCCCTATATTAAGTATATTGTAAATAAAAGTATGAAATGCATCAAATTTTGTTAGCAATGGTCACCTCAAGGTGTAGTAGGGATTAGGAAGGATTTTAACTTTATGCCTTATACCTTTTTGTTTTAGTAGGATTTCTTAAACAATGGATAAAAAGAAAAAAAAAATTTAAGTAGACACAGAAGCAGTAATTTTAGGATTAATAAGTACTTCAATGAAGTATTTGAAGCAACAGTAAGAAAAAGTCCTATAAATAAAAGCATTACTTTTCTTTATAGTTTATATTAATCTCAAACCAGAAAAATGGAGATTATTAGGTTGAATTTATTAGCATTTCCAAGATGAAGTTGAGACTGTCTTTATTCATGTTCTTCAAATTAACATTAAAAACAAATAAATGGATTGAAGGTTTTCTGTGTCATTTATTTAGGCAATGCCTCTTATAGTGGTTTTTGTGGTTTGGTAAATAAATACACAAATTTATTTGTGGAAAATACAAAAAACTAGTGGGGCATGGTGGTACACACCTGTAATCCCAGCTACTTGGGAGGCTGAGGCAGGAGAATTGCTTGAACCCAAGAGGTGAAGGTTGCAGTGAGCCGAGATCGTGCCACTGCACTCCAGCCTGGGCGACAGAGTGAGACTCTGTCTCGGAAAAAAAGAATAAAAAAATCCGCAACTTTCTTTTTGTCATGCTTTGTGAAAAAATGATTAAAGCATGGTTTTCTGAGCATCAAGATTATGGATTATTACAGACTATTTCCATTGTTTTCTTACGGCCTATGTTTTGCAAATTCTATATAATAATAATGAATTACTTTTGCAATCAGATAAAGAGGTACTTTACAAAATAAAGTTAAATATCTATAAATTTAAAACAGTATACCTGATCTCTACTGATCTGCTTGCACTTTCTACATGACACCACGTAGTTTCTTTCTTTCAATGGCTGAACCTTGCAGACTTTATTTACAAACTAGGACCAAATGACTTGTATTGTGATCACATTGGTCTGCACCTCTCTCCATCCAAAATGACGAGGCTAGGTCCATTGAGCACACCCTGGCAAACAACATTTAAAATATCATTACTGAAATGACTATGCAGGCTTTTCACCAGACTTCTATAGCACCACAAAGAAAAGTCAGAGCAAGAAGCTGACTGTTAGAAAAACCAGCCTCTTAAACCTTCTTTTAGCCCCAATCACATGGTGTGCAGCAGATACTCTTAGGTCACACAGAGTAAACCTGAAACTGCAAACTGCAGTTATGGTGTGCAATGTGATGGTGAAAAAAAAAAAAAGGTTTCTTTGTGACAACTGAAATGTTTATGCTAAAGGTTTGAGACCCGTAGATGAAAGGTAAGTAAATACCGCAGGACATGTAGATTGTACTACAGCCAGCATAGCATAATTATAGTTTGCTTTTAACCTTTTGAAGCCTGTGTTTTCTGGTTTCAGTCTCTTCGCCTTTCAAATTGTTTCTGACTCATTAGCCTTTCACCCTAAGGGCAATTCATAAGCTCCCTAAAAGTGTGGATAGTTTTTTCTCTTTCTTTTCTTTTTTTTTTTAGACAGAGTCTCTGTCACTCAGGCTGGAGTATAGTGGCAGGATCTCTGCTCATTGCCAACTTCCATCTCCCAGGTTCAAGTGATTCTCTTGCCTCAGCCTCCTGAGTAGCTGGGATTAAGGGCCATGCTCAGCTAATTTTTAGATTTGTAGTAGAGACAGGGTTTCATTGTGTTGGCCAGGTTGGTCTTGAACTCCTGATCATACCACGCTGGCCTCCCAAAGTGCTGGGATTATAAGTGTGAGCCACCACGCCAAGCCATGGATATTTTTCTTAAATTTCTTTTCTAGCAAATGCGTTCCATTTGTTTTTTAGTATCAGAATGTAAATTCCCACAGTGAAAAGCAACTAAATAATACTTATTTTCTTCTTTTATACACTCTTTTCTTTCCTTTTCTTTTGTGTGTGTGTTTGTTTTTCTTTTTTTTTTTTTTTTTTTGAGACAGAGTCTCACTCTATTGCCCAGGCTTGAGTGCAGTGGTACAATCACAGCTCATTGAAGCCTCAACCTCCCAGGGTCAAGCATTCCTCCCACCTCAGCCTCCCTAGTAGCTGGAATTACAGCCATGTCCCACCAGGCCTGGTTACTTTTTTTTTTTTAATTACTTTTTTTTAGAGACGAAGTTTCACTATGCTTATCTCAAACTCCTGGGCTCAAGCCATCCTCCTGCCTTGGCCTCACAAAGTGTTGGGATTACAGGCATGAGTCGCCAAACCTGGTCCTATTTATAATTAAAAGCACATAACTGAAGACCAGTTCTTCATTACAACTGGAGACCCTAATCTGAAGAGGCTAGTTGGGAGCAAGATGGGGTAGACACTACTGGTATCCCAACCACGGACGAATTGACACTTTGGGATGAATAATTCTTTGTCATAAAGGGTTGTCTTTGCACTGTAGGATGTTCAGCAATATCCCTGTCCTCTACCCATTAGATGCCAGTAGCACAGAGCTCCAACACCAGAGATGTGACCACCAAAAATATCTCCAGACACTGCCAAATATCCACTAGAGAACAAAATCATCTTGCTTGAGAACGACTGCATTAGGCCAAAGACCTCACAAAATCAAGTCCTTTGTGCCTTTGCCAATTCAAATTGCTCCTTTGACTCCATGGTCAATCTCTACCCACTTAGCCACCCACCAACATAAAATACAGACACAAACACCCTCACATTCTTCATATGAAAGACCTTGAACATTGTCTAGAGTTCTTCCTCTGAGCCATATGTGGCCAATTTGGCTAACAGGAGAGAAGTAACCACTAATGCCTATTTCTTACCCTCCACTGACATGGGAGTTCATGCTTATCCTTTTAAATGTACTTAAGTTCACAATGTGCTGACTTTCTTTCTTGGTTTCTTTTTGAAGATGGAGTCTCACTCTGTTGCCCAGGCTGGAGTGCAGTTGCATAATAATATATGAATGAAGCTTCAAACTCCTGGCTTCAAGCAATCCTCCTTCCTCAGCCTCCTGAGTAGCTGGGATTACAGATGTGAGCCACTGTGCTGGCATGTCTTGACTTCTGAAGCTCTAAAATGCCTCCAGCTTCTTTATCCACTAGCCATGCTCTGCAAACCCATGCTCCTCCATGAATTTTGTTTGACCGTATTATTATTTAATTAATTATGTCTATTCTGCCTTCAAATTGTTTTCCTCATTTGGCACTTAAATATACAGTTATGACCCAAGCTCAAGATAGCTATTTCCTGAAGTTATTCTAGATTAGATCCTCTTAACTAAAACTGGGAGTAGCGATTTATAGAATTAAACCCCAAAATCCTTTTTTCCTAAAACATTCCACAACAAAGAGACACATGTTAGCTTATGTAAATTTTATTTTTGTGCCTCTTAATACGTTTGAGGGATGTTTATTCTCCCCACTGCAAGTTGTCTGGTGTTTGAAGCAGTGAGGAAAATGGTCAGACCTAACTGATTTCCTCTACAGAGAAAACATTGTTAATGAATTATTCGCTGTGGAAAATTCTGAAAAGTGAATCTGCCATTGCTAGATTCATAGCCTTGAGCAAGCATGTAAATCTCTCCTAGGCTGTTTCATCTTTGATAAAATGAAGATGCTGACACCTACCCTCTAGTGCTACTGTATTGAATGAAATGACCTGCTTCAAGCTTTTAGCCCTGTGCTTGACATACAGGTGTTTTATGAGTGTCCTTTTTAGTGCTACTTCTCTTCCTTGTTTCCAGCACTTGCTAAATAATTTCTGGGGTCCAGGGCAAAATGAAAATGTGGGGCTTCCTTGTTCAAAAATTAAGAATTTCAAGACAACAGCAGAATATGAAATCAAGTGTTGAGCCCTGTGTGACTGCCTACGTTACACACTCATAAAGCCAGCCCTGCTTGCTCCCCTAGGATTTCCAAGGGTCTACTTTTCTATCCTTCCACGAAATTAAAAGCCACTCTTCAAATTAAACAACGGACAGGGAAATACATGCAATAACTAAAGAGGGCTTGATTATGTGCATTTTTTTTTTTTTTTAACACTGTCTCACTTAAGCAACATGTTGAATGCTAGTGAATCTAGGGCTCTTCTAGAGAGACTGTTTTCATCTGCCATAGTATTTTAGTATTTATATCATTTTCTATCTGGAAGAATGAAAAGAAAAACAAACTTCGGTTGTCTATTAGTAATCAGACCCTTGAAGTTGTCCAAGAAGCACTTAGTGGAAAAAGAGACACTTAATTCAAAATCTCTCTATCTAGGCTGGGCTGCGGTGGCTCATGCCTGTAGTCCTAATACTTTCGGAGGCCGAGGTGGGTAGATCACTTGAGGTCAGGAGTTCGAGACCAGCCTGGCCAACATGGCTAAACCCTGTCTCTACTGAAAATACAAACATTAGCTGGGTGTGGTGACACACACCTGTAATCCCAGCTACTCAGGTGGCTGAGGCAGGAGAATCGTTTGAACGCAGGAGGCAGAGGGTGCAGTGAGCCCAGATAGCACCACTGCACTCCAGCCTGGGAGACAGACTGAGATTCTGTCTCTAAATAAATAAATAAATAAATAAATAAAATGAAAAACCACCAAACAACTATCTAGATTTACCAAACGGCATTCACAAAGATAGCAGCATAGCACTCTGAATAGCTAATTTATAACCTAGATATGAGACTGAAAGAACTGGTCTAGATGTTTAAGAATTAAATATGCAAAGAGGAACATTTCGTTTCCAAACCACTGAGACCCAGCTCTGCTTGTTATTCCTTTTTCTTTATGGATGCATCAACATATCCTTTAAAGCGGGGGTCCCCAATCCCCAGGCCATGGACCAGAACCAGTCCCTCACCTGTTAAGAACCATGCCGCACAGCAGGAGGTGAGTAGCGGCCCGGGAGTGCAGCATCATCTGTATTTACAGCCACTCTCCATTGCCGGCATGACTGCCTGAGTGCGGCTTCTTGTTAGATCAGCAGCGGCATTAGATTCTCACAGGAGACCAAATACTGTTGTGAACTCGCATGCGAGGGATCTAGGTTGCATGATTCTTATGAGAATCGAATGCCTGATGATCTATCAGTCTCCCATCACCCCAGATGGGGCAGTCTAGTTGCAGGAAAACACGCTCAGGGCTCCCACTGATTCTACTTCGTTATTAAAATGTAATAATAACAGAAATAAAGTGCACAATAAACGTAATGCACTTGAATCATCCAAAACCATCCCCCTCCCTTCTATCTGTGAAAAAAATTGTCTTCTATGAAACCGCCTCTGGTGCCAAAAAGGTTGGGAATGGCTGCTTTAAAGGGTTTCTCAAGGTTCTAAAATTTTATTTGATAAGAAGTAGAATCATACAAAAAACAAAATATATGTGTGAATATGGGTATTTATACAGATATAGTATATATACTTACATACAGGCAGGGAGGAATTTCCAAATTTCATCTACTGTAAAATATACACACACCACACCAACACATGTGCACACATGGCATCCTAATAGAAGGCAAGGAGAATTGACATTTACTGAGCACTTCCTATGTGCCACATGTTTTATACATATTAGAATATTACAGTATATGGTAGCTTTTATCCATTGATTCAGTCTCAATACTTTTTTTTTTTTTTAAACAGTAGAGCAACTGAGGCTCACAGCAGTTATGTAACCTGCCCAAAGTCACATAGCATGATGGAGTCTGGATTGGAGATTTTGTCTGACTGCAACACTCATGTATCAAATCCTATTCAGTTTTGATGTTAAAAATTCTGCGGTTGAATTCGTCACAGTGTATTTAAATAAAACAACAACAAATAAAACACAGCAAACCTTAACATAGTTGCTAATCATATGAGTCTTACAAGGCCACCTCTCTCTTACTATCATTTATACTCTTTCCCACCCCATCACATTAATCATCAGGTCTAGGGATTTGCAATTTTGCTAACAGCCGAACAGAACAAAGATAAAAAGTTAAAATTTGTGATGTTGGCCTCACTCCAAAGCCTTCAAGAAATAAAAAAAAAGTTAGGCCAGGGGCAGTGGCTCATGCCTGTGATCCCAGCACTTTGGGAGGCCTAGGCGGGTGGATCAGGAGTTCGAGATCAGCCTGACCAACATGGCAAAACCTCGTCTCTATTAAATACAAAAAATTAGCTGGGCGTGATGGCGCATGTCTGTTAATCTCAGCTACCTGGGAGGCTGAGGCTGGAGAATCGCTTGAATCCGGGGGGCAGAGGTTGCAGCGAACCGTTATTGCGTCATTACACTCCAGCCTGGACAACAAGAGCGAAACTCCGTCTCAAAAAAATAAAAATAAAACAAATAGTCACTTGTGCTTTCAATCTCTCCGCTTCCGGCCTCCACCCAGCGGGAAAAACTCCTGCACGTGGACCTCTACGATTCCCTGGCACGCGCGTCACTCTAGGCAACAGGCTGGTCGACCACGACTGCGCAGGCGCGACGTACGGAGGGGCAGGAGACTGTCGCCCCCGGTTTCCCTGGAGACCAGGCGGAAGCGGCCGGAAGTAGCGCTGCGGTTGGCAGCGGCGGGATGGAGAAGCTGGGGGTGGAGCCGGAGGAGGAAGGCGGCGGTGACGAGGGCGACACCGAGGCCTGGCCCATGGAACTGGCGGACGTGGGGGCGGCAGCCAGCTCGCAGGGTGCGCCGCAGCCAGAGGAGCCGGCGGCCTCCTTGGGTGTAAATAAGAAGGGTGGGGCTGGCGGACGCTCTGGGCGGCGGCCACTGGGGCGCGACCGTCCCCGCCCCGCTCGGCCCCTCTAAGAGATGGCTGCCTCCTTCTGCCTGGTGTTACGCGGCGGGTACCTCTAGAGGAATGGCTTCACCCAGTAGGAGTAGGTTGGGGCGTGTCCACACTACAAATGCGTGTCGAGGGTGTATCTGCATCGTCCTCTGTGAGGGGCCAGGTGGGGCGGGAATCCCTCAGGCAGCCAGACGACAACTGCAGAGGCTTCTGGGCCTTTTAAGTTTGGAGAAGTTGAGGACCTTGTCGCTCATTTGGCAGAAGGTGGGACCCGGTTCTCAGTCTTGGCAGGAAGGGATGGCTTAGAACCTAGGCGGAGTCAGGTCCGCTGTGGTCACGTCTCCGGTGACCCACTTTCCGCTCTGGTCTTTACCTTGTACCGCCCACCTCAGGGCCTGGATGCGAAGGCACCGGATCTCATTTCCTGCTGGTTTTCTTTCATTCATTAATTTAGAGACAAGGTCTCCTAGCAGCCTCAAACCCCTGGGCTCAAGTGATCCTCTGCTTCAGCCTCTCCCTCCCGAGTAGCTGGGACAACAGGCACGTGACACCACACCTGGCTAATTTTCAAATTTTTTTTAGATCAGGTGTTGCTGTGTTGTCCAGGCTGGTTTCAAACTCCAGCCACAAGCGATCCTTCCACCTCAGCTTCGAAAGTGTTGGGATTACTCGTGCCTGGCCTTTTTAAGTTTTGAAACAGCTGTAGGTTTACTTTAAAGTTGCGGAGCTAGATCCCCCTAGTGTTGACATAAACTCAGTACATTTGTCAAAACTAGGAAATTAACATTGGTATAATACTGTTAACCGAGCTACACGCTTTATTCAGATTTTACCAGTTTTTCTGCTAATGTTCATTTTCTGTTCCAGGATCCCAAAAAGAATATTGTATTGTATTTTGCCTGTCTTGTTTTTAGCCAGTGTTGAGAGAAGGAGTCGCCTCTGTCATTCCCTCCCCCGCACATGACCTAACGACTTTTTAAAATCAAAGAACTATTCAGTCTTTCAATTTAGTGAATATTTATTGATGGTCTATTATATCCTAGACACTGTTTTAGGCACTGGCGATTTAGCATTAAACCAGGTAATCCTGCTGTCATGGGAGCTAAAAATAGCCCACGCTGGTACCCACTGGTTGTCTTTTGCCATTTTGTATTTCAGTTTTTGTTGTTGTTGTTTTAAATGTAAGGGCATGCTGCTTAGAATAATTTTCAAGTTGTGTGAAAACCAATGTCATTTCAACTTTTCTGCCCCTTCTGGTTTACACTAAAAGCTACTATAAACTTCCAGGTGATAGTATCAGCTCTTGCATCATCCATTATTTATCACATTTTTTCCCCTCAAACTTTTTACTATCCTGAGAAAAATGCAGTGCACAAAGAAACAGTAATTAAGAGGACTCAAAACCCTACTCTAAGTAGAGTTTCATGTCTTTGTAATTTCAATGCTTTCACACATAATCCAGGAAAAAACTAACATCGCTCTGCATTCTTCCTTCACAGGTACCATGTTTTAAGGAACTGTGAGTTGCTCAGAGATAATAAGCATCCTGAATTTCTTTTTATTTCTTTGCATATTGTGCAGGAGTTCGTGATCAAGTGTTGCCCACACGAAATTCTTCATCCAGAGTCATAGTACATGTGGATCTGGATTGCTTTTATGCACAAGTAGAAATGATCTCAAATCCAGAGCTAAAAGACAAACCTTTAGGTAATTGTACATTTATAATATTTTTATTGCATAGTGATTAGATTAGCAACTCATGCTCATTATATACTGATTTATTAACCTTATTAAGAAAGATTTTGGAAGCAGTTCTTACAGTGCTTTATAGCTGGTCATTTTTGCTTCACTACCAAGTGTAAATTTTACAAGCCTCATTTAATAAGTGGTGAATCTGAGAATAGTGTAGTTGGCAGAACAGATGAAGAGAAAGCGGAATAAATTTTACTTTTCTCTGCTGGTTAGTAGCTTAGTTTGCTGGGCAGATTTCTTTTTCTCAGTATTTGAAATTTTACAGGCTTTCCTCTCAAAAAACAACCTCTTATTACATTTTAGTGGAAGTGTTCATCTGTCCTTCCCTTTCTGAAATTAACTCTTAAATTGTGTAACGTCTAACAAACTAGTTGGATTTTGAACATAAACCTTAGTTTTACTAAGACAGCAAACTTTCCATAAAAACATAAGCAGCTTTTTAAATAAAAGCCAAAATAAATTTTATATTGGATATTGTTGATATACTGGCTTGTTTTATCATTTTTATTATTCATATTTTAAATTGAGAAAGGTAAAGAGATTTTCATGCATGCAGGAAAGATTCTTCCTTTAGTATAAGCATAAAGAACAGTTTTGCTTCACTTGCTGCTACCCTCTTGTGCCCACTTTGGCTTAATAAATCCCAATCCAGCATAGCTGCTTTACTGAAGAACAAAGGGGTGACTAGTTTTTGCTATGCCAAGGTGAGTCTAGGATCTTAAAACCTTCCTAAAGGTTGCCAAGAAGTTAGAATCATGGGCCTTAAGTTTTTTCTCCTGAAGGCATTTCTAAGTAGTAGCACTGTGATATAAGATGTTCTGTGGATAATGCTTAATAAAAAAAAGTGTAATTAAGTACGAATGAATGATTATTGGGAAGTGAGGGATGTGAATGCTCCGCGTTTTTTTGGGGAAACTAAAGTAGTCTTTCATTTTTTGTTGTTGTTGTTGTTGAGATGGGTTCTCACTCCAGCCCAAGCTGGAATGCAGTCGTGCGATCTTGGCTCACTGCAGCCTTTGCCTCTGCGTCTCAGGTGATTGTCCTATCTCAGTCTTCCAAGTAGCTGGGACTAGAGGTGTGTGCCACCACACTCGGTTAATTTTTTCGTGTTTTCAGTAGAGACGGGGTTTTACCATGTTGCCCTGGGTGGTCTCGTACTCCTGAACTCAGGCAATCCACCTGCCTTGGCCTCCCAAAGTGCTGGGACAACAGGCGAGAGTCACCGTTCCCGACCAGTAGTCTTTCATTTATACTCAACAAATATATGACAAACTCAGGCTGGTGACATGCAGTGATGAGGCCATATAATGTAATGCTCTATTAAAAAACTCCTTTTTTAGTTAAGAAATCTACCAATCTGATTTTTTTAAATAGTTCACTGTCGAGTCTAAAATTACTACTACCTTTGGTTCCATGATTATATTTTGGGCATTACCTGATATATTAAAAAACTTTATATAAAAATAACATTTCTTTGCCTTGTTTATTACATCAAAATTTTAGAAACAATGTCTAACAGAGAAATGGACATAACCTTTTTTTTCTACATGTTTGTATTTTACATATTTTAGGTGAACATTACTCTTACAGTGGTAAGCAAGTAGTAAACTTGTATAAAAAGAGAAGAGCAAATAATTTTTAGCACTCTTGAGTCACCAATAAACTAGAACTTTTTATGCAGTCTGTAAATAAATGATTATTTAATCATTTTTGATAGAACAGTTCAATAAGTAGTAAGTAACTATTAGATCCCTAAAAATTGCTGTAGCCTGGCACTTGTTTTATATATTTTATGTACATATTATATTTTATATTGCTTTATATTAGCAAATTACCCAGAAGAGAAGTTGAGTTTTTCTAGCAGCAACCAGTATTTAGTTGTACCCAATTATTTTCATCTGGTTTTTTTTTTTGGTAGAACATGCCCTATTATATGGCAATATAAATTAATCTGCTTTTATATTGTCTGGAAAAAAAATCCTAGAGAGATTTGGTTTGTATGTTATCACTGAAGATTCCATAGAATATATCGATTTAGGTTCATTTTTACTAAATTTGAGAAATGTAATACACAGATTGCCTTTTGTATATGAATAATTGATCTAACTTGTAATTCTGTGTTATTCAGTGTTTTGTTATTTAATAATAACTTTCCTTCTTCAAGGAGACAAAACAACCAGAGATTAAAAGTGGGGTATGGAAAAATAATACATTGGTATATTATAATTCATAATTAGGAGATAGCTTGAAAACCTAATGTTTCTGCATTATAGAAATTTGATTTAAGGAGGCTGTGTTTTTTGAGACAGGGCTTTTGCTTCTTATCAAAACTGTCTTACAACTTAGACAAATGTAATATGGAATTAATAATGTCTTTAAATGTTTCTTCAATTGTGCTTGAGTTTCTCCTAAAATATTTTTATAGGGGTTCAACAGAAATATTTGGTGGTTACCTGCAACTATGAAGCTAGGAAACTTGGAGTTAAGAAACTTATGAACGTCAGAGA